ATCGATTTGTAGATATTAAGTATACAAATAGTTTATTGGAAAATTGTTATTTTCTGATGAAAAAAAATTTAGAAAAAATATAAATCATTAGATTTAAATCCAGATAGAGTCTATTATGATTATATCTCAAGGAGGAAAAAGAGAAATTTCAGTACTCTGAAGTAAGCATGAAATACGGTACTTCATTCATACTTGAAAGTATTGAAACCTCGCTTTTTCGTTCTTGTTATGCATAGATTTTGTTTTCCGGATAGTTCAAAATTATTGAGATTTATATTATATCATTTAATAAAAAAACGATTCATCATTAATTATATTTTCTTTTCAACGATCAAATTTGGGAAAATTGTCTTTTGATCACCAAAAAATATAGATTTGATCACCAAAATGTGCTTGTTGCGAAATGATCACCAAAAAAATATACATTTGATCACCAAAATTTTTTCTTGCGAAATGGTCACCAAAAAAATATATATTTGATCACCAAATTTCTAATTTGGAAGATTGTGACAAGGTTACTTATTTTAATTAATACATAATGCACTTTTATTCAATGAATTTTTATCTCATAAGCTAATTAATCCATCGGACGAGATTAATCAACAATAATCTCGTTTGATAAAAATAATCTTATTAACTCAGAACAATTATAAAGGATGTCTCAGTGTCATCAAGATACAGAACATTAGAAAATGGCAAATAATCACCACTATCTTCATGCACATGTCCAGTTGGTCTCAAAGAATATCGATGTAAACATTCTATTGGATTAGCTATATTATTCAATATGTATCAAGTTGCAGATCAAACACGTTTTGCACCATTGGGGAAAAGGAATGATCGAGGACGACCAAAGAAAGTTCGAACGGCATTATTGCCATGATATTTTTTTGTATTGTTTCTATTCCTATTCTTTGTTCAGATCTGTCTAATGTTGTTGTTTTTTGGAGTTACTATTGGAATAACTATACTTTCTCTCACTAGTTGCTTTATTTTTCTATTATTAATTAATTTGGTGATCAAATCTATATTTTTTTGGTGACCATTTCGCAAGAAAAAATTTTGGTGATCAAATGTATACTTTTTTGGTGATCATTTCGCAAGAAAAAATTTTGGTGATCAAATATATATTTTTTTGGTGATCAAAAATATTCATACCCCATAGAAACGAGAGGATACATTGATTGAATTAAGTGATTTAGTTTAGTATATTGTTTAATTAATCACCCCTAAAAATGTTTTCCATTAGAGTCTAATGACTCTTTCTTGATAATAGTTTTTGTCACAAAAAATGATAGGAATGTCAATTTACAATTTATTTAACCTAAATTTAAATTAAGTTTAAAATAAAAAGTTTTTTTTTTTTGAATCTAATAAATTGTTTTAATCCACGTTAGTCATCGGTATTTGGAAAATACATGACTTAAGCAGTAATGCATGAGTAGTAAGAGAAAAATCTAGTATTTAAGTTCAGCATGTACTCATAAATATGAAAATTTCTGAACAAATCATATACGATTGTTGAACTTCAATCTTCTATATAATAAAGACGCTCAAACATCCAAATTTATTAGCACAATTCATAGAGGAAGACCTGTTTTTATTTCTAGAAAACACGAAAAAAAATTTGACTTGTAATATCTTCAATAAAGTCAAAATCGATTTGAGTCACCTTTTCCTAAAATTTCTCTACTTTAAATTCAAAAATCTTAACTTCAGTTTAACTTTTCATTTAAAAAAAAATTTTCTTTTAAATTTATTTCTTGATTTAATATTTTTTTAAATTTAAATGTGCTCCCTCTAAATAATGATATCCTAAGAACACTCTAATGTTATACAATTTAATACGATTGTTTTTATTTAATGGTCGCATCACCGAAAATCTAAAACTCATTTCGAAAATTTTCAAAGCCACTTCATCCAGTGATTGAGCAGCTTTGCAAATCACAGAAAATAGTCGCAAAAAATACTGAATGAGTCGTACACTCCAAATAGCAGCGAATTTTACCTTTATTTCTTCTTGTTTTTCTTAGCTGAAGATTTCTTCAGCAATCGTCTCCTGAAAGAAACTGAGTCTCATTTAGTAGCAGACTTTTTGCACTTTAACAGAAGGATTTGTAAGCAAGTTTCTCAGAATTAAATTATTTGTTCCTTCGAAGTGCGTCTTCTGTCCATCATGTACATCTAATAATTCCATATTAGAGCATACATTTACGTGACTAATTAAATAACATACTAAACTACATCACTTAATTCAATCAATGTTTCCTCTCGTTTATATGCGATGAATTGATCGGTCACCATTTTGCATGTATACATTACGAAGAACAATGCTCGAATAATATTGGGCACGGCATAAAGTTTACAACATTTAGTATTTTGCAAATATCTCAGCAGAGATCATTTTTATAATCTTGATTCTTTCTTTAACAGATACGCTGTGAAAAGCTTCACAAAAACTGTGACAACAAATCCGTATTGACTTGTTTTGACGGTTTCTTCTATATTCAAAATGAATAAGTCACATGATGGCGCTATGTCCCAACGTATTAAATATTTGAAACATCTTTTTTTGTTTTGCAATACGAGATTATTCATATAGCTTTTTCAGAACTTTTGACAGCGTATCTTTGACAAAAAAACTCAAGACGTTATCGTTTTTCCAAGTGGAGATATTCACAAAATTGAAAAAAGTCTTTCAAATATTTTTGCTATACTGAATACGGTGGGACATAGCAACGTCATGTGACCTATTCATTTTAAATATAGGAGAAACCATCAGAACAAGTCAATACAGATTTGTTGTCACAGTTTTTGTAGAGCTTTTCACAGCGTATCTTATAAAGAAAGAATTAAGATTATAAGATTGATCTCTGCTGAGATATTTTCAAAATACTAACTGTTGCAATCTTTATGCCGCACTCAGTAGCTATGCTCGTTTACATGATTACAGTAAAGATCTTGTTGATGTTTACACGATCATTTCATAGCGCACAAGTTTGAAAAGTTGTACCTTTGACTGCGTAGAAGCGCTTCTTACAAATTTTGTCTCTTACGGTAGTTAAAATTTCATATATCTTAAAAAATAAATAATTATGGTATACATAAAACGTTTGCTTTAATCCACTTTTTATTTGAAAAGTTGATAAAGAAAAATGACACTACACAAAATAAAAATGTAATATTAAAATTAAACCTATATTCACAGTTCGTTTTGATTAAGGTAACCGATTATTTTGGTTCACATGTTGGCGGCACCACCATCATTGCTTCTGGACATGTATCACAAATTTTTTGACGGATCGAACATCGCAACGGAAAGCGATGTACACCTAATGGTCTTTCATAATATATTGCTTCAACTGAAAATGTTTTAGCTACATTTACTGGAGCAATTAATGCATTTACTCGGCGTAAATTCTGTGAATACCAAACATCTTCTGGTAATTTATTATCATATGGATGAAGTGCAAGTAAAGCAAGAATCTTACTACGAGTTCTTAATGAGAATCCACCATTACCGACTAAATCTACTTTACTGTATATAAACGTATATGGGTCCCATGGAGCACCAATATAATCATATTGAAGAAAATCAGTAATTTTATGTGGTGAATTCGAACACATAGCTGAATCGATTTGAAAAAGAAGGATTTTTTCACCGCGAACACGTTGCCAAAATTTTGGATCTGTTAATAATTGACTTGTTCTAGTACGTTCAGTAGTTTGATTCATGAAGGTAAGAAAAATTTTTCCTGATGCAATTAATGGTGCTAAAGTTGAATTTCTAATAAAAGCTTCATTATCTTTTCCATGAAATATTTGAATTGGCCATGTTAATGGAATATTATGATTAACATTATGAACAATAGTAACAAGATAATCAACTGCACGTGACTCAACTAGTACAGCAATGCAAGGATAAAAACTATTCGAAGAGTAAATAAATAGAGAAGAATTATTTTTTACACATTCACGATAAATACGATAACCTAAAAAAGAATAGTAGGCATTTACTATAAAAGCGAGTGCCAAGAAGAATATGATTAATTTCTTGATCCTTGGCTTAAACGATATCATGTTGAGAACCAATAGAGATACAATACTAACGTGTTATTCATATATACATGCTCTTTAGGTCATGCTTGACTGAATGTTGCTTATTTCGATGATAATAACAACGTAAATAAGTGATGAAAGGATAACTAGAAAGAAAAAATGATTGCATTACAATCGATTAGTTACTAAAAGAGCAGCCATTAACCGATCGAGAAATCGAAGTGCTTCAGAAAATTCAGTTTTGGAATTTGATGTTCTCATTTTAATCAGAATCACCTAAATAGTGTTCCAACAAATGCCTATCTGCTATTATAGCACGATCTTCAATTATTTCACCATAATTGAAGATTAATCAGCTGATTGGTTTAGCTCATGTTCTTCAAAATGAAGTAACGAGTGATTCTCTCTCCAGTGTCAAGTTGCTTTTTCATCGAGATGATATTCATTTGATGAATAGTATAAAAGTCTACAAAGGTTTTGTTTTTCAAAGCTTCGTTTTCGAGATATAAACATTCATGCAATTTTCATCAAATAGCTTTTGTGTCCCTGAAAAAAGATAAACAATTGACTTTTGACTTTTGACTTTAAAATTTACATGGACAAAATTCCCAATGAAATTTTTTCATTAGGCAAGTTGTAACTTTTCTAGGATCTCCTATCCTGAGTCCTTCAATATTTGAAATTCCCTCATGTGGAAAAGTCAAATTTACATCTTCAGAGGAGAATTAATATAAAAACTAAAACTTTCCTATTGAGCTAATCTCATTGAAAATTTAGTTCATATGAAGTTGGAGGTCGAAATTCGAAAGTCGATTTCCCAAGTCATCTAAAAACTTGAAAAATCCAGTACAAATTCAACAGCTGAAGAACGAAGATCCGGAAAAACGAACAATTCTAGACTTTTCTATTATTTTTGAATATCCATCATCTCAATTGGAAAATGATATCGTA